TGGTTTATCACCACTGAACGATATATATCTTGGACTGATTTACCAAACCAGGGCTGAACACCACTCAACATCTCAATAATGCTGCATCCAAATCCCCAAGCATCAGTCTCGCAAGATATTGGGCCTCTAACCTCAGGTTCCCACTGTTCCGGAGCCATGTAGTTTGGAGTTCCAAGCCTTAATGCTAGATCTGAATCAGGTGGTTGAACTCCAAGAAGAAGATACGGAATCCCAAAGTCTCCAAGGAACACTTCGTCATGTTCATTCAGAAGAAAATTAGTTGGCTTAAGGTTCAGAACCAAGACATTCATTGAATGCAACTCTTGTATTCCTTTAGCCAATTCAATACCATATCTGTAAGCAATTGGCACTCTGTATTAGCAAGAGCCATGTTTCATAATGAAAAAAATTTACCTTCCTAATAAATGTTCAAGTCAACGACCTGAGAACATCAAGTAACTGAAGCTTCCCTCCTTTCAGCCGAGCTATTTTGTCACCAACTGACCCCTCATAGGATCTCATAGCTATACAGATCTATCCACCGAAACAATATTAAGAGAGTTAAGACAATAAACCAATTCTAAGGTCCAATATAGACCTAACAGAAATGATGCAGATAGACTTTCACCTTTCCAGATATTACAGAGATACCATGCAACCAGCAAACACCTTGGAGTTGTTTAGATTTCAAATTTACCCATAACTCCTCAAACTTACTTAAGAAGGCCTTTACTTGATCCTCATTTATAGGATGTAACATCTTTATAGCTACTTCATGATTCTCATCGTAATCAGTAGCTGACTGATGATGAGTGGCTGACCAAACATCACCAAAGTATCCACGCCCAATCCTGTGTCTAAGTTTGATTGATGCAGGATCAATACAAGGACCAGATGGGGTAGTCGCAGCAACAACAGTTCTAAGATGATCAGGATCTCCGTCATAAAGCTCATAATCGAAAGAGGTTGCCAAAGGAGATACTTTGACATCTTTAGCCATTTTCTCCAGCTAAGAAGGTAAAGACAAAAAACAGAAAAAGTGCATGAGATCAAAAACCACAACTTGGACTGCATGTTATAGAAACTTCCACCAGTACACAACATCAGATTTGTCATAACTGAACTATTAATTCCTCAAGCAACATTTCTAAGACAATGGGAATCGAGAATTTTTTGAAGGAAGAATAGTTTACCCTATGATGCTCTTCAAAAATGCAGTGAAGTTCTATAATTCAACATAGATTTAGGATCCTGGTATGTTTAATATTGACTCATCTAAGCTTATCAGTATAGCAGGGATGTCAAAAAGAATCTTGATGTGACTAGAAAGCTTCTGTAATAACGCTTTTACAGATGACTTCAGTGGTGAAATAGTCAACAAACAATAGTATCAATTTAAGAATAGACTTAGGCTCTATAGATGTAATCAAGAGCTATTTTCGCTGACTCTCCAAAATGACGCCGCACCCGTGTCGGATCCTCCAAAAATGCACTACTTTTGGAGGATCCGATACACACCCGGCAACATTTTCGGAGAGTCCGAGCAACATAGATTAAGAGAGCTAATAGTGGCAAATTTCTTCCATAAAACATATGTAACTGCAAAGTTCTAAGTTCAGCATGCCCATCGTCTTTAGATGCTCCTGTCATAACTTCCCTGAGGACAAGTTATATAAAGATTTTGGAGGTCAAATCCCAAAAGTTTTTCTAGTCACTCTTTCACTGATACAATGGAAGCCATGCACTCTAATCTAATTTGTGGGTCCAGATAAAACTAATATCCTAAAAACCTGCTTTTTTATTTAACCCCATAATTGTAGTTTAGGTATTTGTATAACTGGTTCAGGTTTTTGACAAAGTAGTTGGATTATCAAAGTACTTGTTCATGCTTGCCACCATAAAGGCATAAAGTACTAAAAAACAATGCACACAGAGAAGGAAAATAAAATCAGGTTACCTTAAAGGTATGCTTTAGGAAATTTCTTTAAATTCCCATCGTAAATTGTTGCCTAGCAACTAAATAGACATGTAAATGCAAACAGTATAAAATTGGAGGCCTCTCAAGTACCTGTGTAGATGCAATCAACACATTACGCAGCTAAACAGGCCTAGTCACCAAATCTATAAACCAAAAAGTATGCTATTCCATGAATCATTGAAGCAAACTCAAAGTCGCCATCATGTGGGGTTTTTTGATACGACACGAGACACCTATGTGATTTATTGTAGGGATCCTACAGAGATAAGCAGAACCTCCATTGAAAAGCGAAAAAGAAGAAATTATTTTTTGCTAAGGTACGATTTTAACGAACAATAATTCCGTGTGTAAGTTAAGATTTTATTAATACTCAGTATCAAGAAGAAAAGAACAGTTGAGCTAGACGAGGGATAACAGTTGAACAACCAAACATGTCCACTTTCAAAACCGTGCCCATCTAAAAAGTGTGTAGACTCTCAAAGTGCTATAAAACAACCAAAACTTAAACCAAACTATGTTTTCCTGAAATTTTATTCTAACCCTCTCGCTTAATCGAGAAATGTTCTCTCTCAAATGGAAATTAAGAAATGCAGCAAAGTTTTTTAAGCTCTTCTGCTAGCTAAAGTGTGTCAATATAAGGTAGACCATCCAAAACCAAAATTTCTTACTGCCCTCCTCACTCTCTACTCCAATTTTCCAAATGCACCAAACAGGGGCAGAGTTTAAATCTTCTCCGATTTCTGTCCCCCCTCCCCCACCACACACACCCCCAAACACAAAATTCTAAAGTCAAGCGCTATCCGCTAAGGACAGGAAGAAATCTTGACAGCTATATGCCTTAAACAAGCATAAGCCCAAGACATATTGCTCCCCAAAAGACATCCTTCTCCACATAAAGCTACCATTTAAGTATACTGATGAAAATAAAACTGGTTCTTACTTGATGATTTGAAGACCAACCTTATAAGAGGTGGATGTACTAGGCTACGTCTCACCTGTTGATGACAAAACAGATTATGATTTTAAGAACTATTTAATTTATGCGTGAAAACTAATCAACGACACAAAGTAGCGGATAGTTCTGCCTCCCTTTCTCTTTAAATTGCTAAGCAACGGATCCCCTAGTGAGTCCTCTATTCAATATTTGACTAGTACAATAGCAACCTTCACAATTTCATGATTTCATGTCAGTCAGTGTGTATTGGGGGGGGGGGGG